AGTCGAAAGCCCTATTGATAGACTTTGTTTTCTGTAAAAATGGAAGAAATCGCTACAAGGGATGACACTTGAAAAAAATTAAGTTTGTGTTAGCTGAAAATTTTTAGAAAAGAAAAAAAATCAATACGGCCCTAAGGAGTGATTTCGATTCACCATTTTTTTACGGTAGAAAGCCCTCTTGATAAACTCTGTTTTCTATAAAAATAGAAGAAATCGCTGCAGAAAATGACTCTTGAAAAAAAAAAAGTTTGTGTTAGCTGAAAATTTGTAGAAAAGAAAAAAAATTCAATACGGCCGTAAGAAGTGATTTCAATTCACCATTTTTTTTACAGTTAAAAGCCCTATTGATAAACTTTGTTTTCTGTAAAAAAAAAGAAAGAAATCGCTACAGGGGATAACACTTGAAAAAATAAAGTTTGTGTTGGTTGAAAATGAACACAAACACAATTTAACCCGACACACCAAACTTTTATTTTTAAAACAACGCGTTTCAACCACAAAGTGGTCATCCTCAGGTGAGAATACCTTTTGGTAAGCTTTGTTTTTTGCAAAAAATCATATAAATCGCTAACACTTTAAAAATATAAAGATTGTTGGTTGAAAATTTTGAGAAAAAAATTCAATACAGCCCTACAGTGATTGTTGGTTCACCTTTTTTCAGTTGAAAACTCTTTTAATAAGGTTTGTTTTCTGAGAAAAAGAAAGAAATAGCTACACAGCACTTGAAAAAAAAAATTTGTTGTGGTAAAAATAAAAAAAATCAATACGGCCCTAAAAAGTGATTTTGGTCCACCATTTTTTAACAGTCAAAAGCCTCTTTAATAAGCTCTGTATTCTGCAAAAATGAAAGAAATCGCTACACGGAATGATACTTAAAATTAAATTTGTGGTGGTGGAAAATATTGAGAAAAAGGAAGAAATTCAAATTCAAGCCCATAAGAAGTGATTGTGGGTTAATGAATATTATTTATTTGTTTTAGAGGATAAAATGTGTTAATTTTCCAAAATAAATTCACATCGGATAAAATTACTAACAAAACACAAAATTAATTTGCTCCTCTGATAAATCTGTCGCTAAAACATGGATGGATATTTGTCTAATGACGTGACAGAATAGTATATTAGAATACGAGCCACGTAGCGGCGAGTTAAGAAACAAACGATTGCTTTTTTGTAACTAACATTTTAGTAAAAAATATTTTATGTCGCAGTTTGAAACAAATTTTCATATAAAAAAATGCACAACCAACGATTTTAGTTCAATTACATAAATTACCAAAATTAACTGTATTTTACGTTATTTGCTTTAATTTTCTTTCCGTGACGTTTTTTTTTAGTTATGAAAGTTTTTACTCACTTCCATGACATCGTTCGTGAGTCTGATCGTCCTTGCGGTGTCCCCGGGGTGCGGGGCGGATCCATCTGGTCCCAATTCGACTAAAAGTGGCACCGCATCTCTCACATCCCGAGGATTTGTCGTGTTGGTCCCTAACGCTCCTGGCTTTTTCTTCCTTTTTCGCGGAGCACAATCTGCCGGTCGTCTCCTAACGTGAAACATGATGGAGCCTAAAAAAAGGGACAATAATAGATTTAAAAAAAATGCAAGAAACAGACCGAATCGTGGCACAATTTTAAAAGTATTCATAACGTTGACACTGACACACGTCCGTTGCAAGTAAAACACTTTGCACGTGTGGATCAGAAAATAGAATTCGAAGCAAATCTGAAATGCTGTATTTACAGTTTACGCATTTTAGCAACCTACTTGGCGGGTGCGTAAATATTTAACTTGCAACTTGAGGAAAAAGACGACAGATACTGCGTATAAATAAGATTGCATTCGAACAAATCAATATCCACAAATTGGAAAACTGTGACTTTTTCTTACCGAGCTCGGTGTTCTTCAAAAGCTAAATTTAGCTCAAATTAATTGATTACTTTCTCACTTGCCCAAAGCAACAAGTTTTTTTTTTTATAAACACATTATCAATGGTCAAATGAGCGCCCCTACTTTGACCTCCACCAACATCCAGGAATATTTCTGGCAAACCAAGTGAAAATAACTATTAAGTTTAACTGTTAAGTAAATAAACGGAAATTACACATAAATCTAATTAACAAATATCCAATGGTCCATAAAAAACCAATAACAAATAAACTGACTTCAATTAAATTGACTCACACCGCGACACTGGGTTATATTACGGGTTAACTCGGAAGGTTACAACCGTACTCCCGGATTTAATTTCTTCCAATTGAATTATGGTAAGTCCTTAAACGCACTTGATGGTTTTAATGACCCCTACAGTAACTCAAAACAACGTAAAAAATAAAAAAAATCACAAACAAAACCAACATTTTGTTGTGTTATAATGCTCGTATTTGTGTGATGTAGGTAGAAATGAGTTTTCACAATAAAAATCGAACAACTTAAAAGTTCAAGCTCCAAAACGATTAATTTCACGTATTGATCGGTTCATTTTTGTGCTTTAACCTTTACTGCAATTTCAGTACATAAAAATCTAGTTTAATGTATTATGCATTAACCCATAACTCTATTCTATAATATTGACAATATTTTCTTTCATTTGCTACTTTTTGACATTATAATAATGGCTCTGTCCTATTTATTAATTTTTTAACTTATGATAATTTTTTCAAACAATAATTTCTAGTAAAAGTGAGACTTATTGCACATGTCTGTACCGAGAAAACTAACACTTTCCTAATTATGAAGAAAGAAATATGAGTTCCAATTTAAAATTAAAAAGTTGAGGGTGACTCAAAATACAGTGTCAGAACTCGCGCCCCAGAAAAATTTTTTAGGTAAGATAAAATAACAGGAACATAGAAATTTTTTTTTTAAATCTATGTGTCAAACAATTTTGACATCTATTTTTTGACATTTGACATTTTTTGTGTCTATTTAATGATGGTGATCTTGTATATGTTTTTTTTATAATTATTTAATAAAGGTACAAATATTTTGCAAATGAAAGCCACAAATAAAATTGAACAGAATTACAATTTAGGATATAGCTTCCTTGTTTCCTCTTCTAATAGCCTGTAGCAAAAAAACTTGAAAAATCATTTTTCCAACAGAAATAAATAGAGTCAAATTGCAAAATTTAAACTCTTTTATAGATAGAATTTTTTAATATTTTTTACATGTTCCTGGTATCTTACCTTACATGYCATTTTTCTTTGGGGCATCCTGTATAAATTGAAAAATTTATATACATATTTAGTTATACCAGGTGAATAAAAAGTATGGAGCCAAACGTTTTTTGCTTAAACTACTTATTTTTTGAAAAAACTAATTGATGAGTGATAAAGTACTATAAAAATGTGATGATTTAACAAGAATAAAATTTTTCGAAATTTCCTTGTTTTTGAGTTCTACAAAAAAATATTTTTTTAAGTGGCAACCCACTATAAAATCATTTTTCTCATAAAAGCTATACTCTAAGGATTACAACTATCTACTTTATATTTAATTTTTTTTTTAATTAACAGAGTTACAATTTAGGATACAGCTTCCTTGTTTCCTCTTCTAATAGCCAGTAGCAAAAAAACTTAGAAAATTATTTTTCCATCAGAAATAAATAGTCAAAGTGCAAAATTTAAACTCTCAAAACTTCGAAATTTTTATAGATAGAATTTTTTAAATATTTTTTCCTGATATCTTACCTTATAAGCCATTTTTCTCTGGGGCGCGAGTTCTGGCTCATCCTGTATATTATGGCATTTAGAAAAATTCTAAAATTGTCAGCTTATACTATGTATTATATTAAAATCCATTTAATTTTTTTTTTTTAATTTTTGAAATCGGCCTATAAATAAAAATTCTAGAGCGCCTGCCGTTTTCCAAAAGTCACCCTGTATTTTTATTTACTTTTTAACTATTCACATTAGTCAAATGGAAAAAAAAGTTTTGTACACACTCTGAACAAAAACGTGTTTTTATTTTTGAAATTCTATAACGGACACGTCAGCAAAAAGTAAATCTTCAATAATCTTACTACAAATTTACGAATTTTTTAACTTGATAAACTTCAATCGCCATATTGAAAACTACTCATTAAAGACAAAAACTAATTAAAGAATCGTAATCCTTGGGCAAATCTGCGTTAATTAAGTTAAAATTTGTTTAAAACTTAAAACTAATTTGCCAAACTTTGATCAATATCTCAAAAACTGCCCATCTTAGACAAAAACTACTAATTGAAGAATTTTGCGTTAAAAAATGTTGATTTTTGACGGTTTAGTGACCACATTATTAAAAAAATTATTAGCTCGTAAATTTGGAAAAAAAATTGTTTAAACAAACTTGTCAAACGTTGATCGATATCTCGAAAACCCTTCATTTAGACAAAAAATAATTACAGAATCGTCATTTTACGTTAAAAAAATTTTTTTGGCGATTTACTTGCCACATTATTGAGGAAAAAATACTAACGACTTCTGATAAATTAAAGTAAAATTAATTCAAAACTAATGTGCCAAACTTTGATCGACATCTCAAAAACTGCTCATTTTAGATAAAAACTACTTATTTTAGACAAAAACTAACTACTACTACTAACTAGTGTAGTTAGAATGCAAAATGTTCAATGCTATGATTTACAGTGTACGTCTGAAGCAGCGAAAAAGATAAATAAATGATAATAAAAGTAAAAACGCTAAGGCGCAAAAATAGAATATTTACTCTATGGTTGAGAGGGAAAACTTTTACTTGTGACATTTAATCATAAAAATGGTCACTTTAGTGACTTTTCTTCGAATTTTGGAAAAACTGCCACAACCACCACACGAAAATAAAAATAATTTGCCACTTGTATGTTCCAATAGGAAGAATATTAGTGTTATTATTGTTATACTTATGCACGAACCATGCAAAAAGTGGACAATACTTAATTTACTGCAATTTCAATATTTTATTACAGCTATTTTTATGTCAAAATCCTTGTTGCCTATTGTTTGTATCTTATGAAATGCTTGTATAAGCTTCGCTTTTCGCAGTTTCTCCTCTTGTAATTCTATTGTGTTTGTCGACATATCAAATATGTTTGAGACAAAACAGTTTCAGTTATAATTCTATGCAAGGATTTTTAGCGAATGCGGCAAATTCGATCTACCTCTGACCTACAAAATGAACAAAAGATAATTAACTGTTGCAAATAAACAACAGAAAATTTGCGCTCCACCGACTTTACTTCAATCCAAAAAAAAAAAACAGTTTCGAGTATTATTCACGTGTCTTTCATTACTTATTCATGACCAAGGTCCAATTAAAATTGAACTATGTTTACCGGGCTAGGAAAAAAGTCGATATAAAATTGAAAAAACCTCAACGTACCCAACATGACTTCACATTTGGCGTTTCTGAGCCGCTTGTAGGACCGAAATCCCATCATTTTGAAGCACTAAAAAATTTATTGCTTGATAAAAAAATCAATTTGTCAAAAGTCGAACTTTTAGCACTTATTTCTTGCTTGGTAAGTAAAAAAATCAATTTATCAAAAGTCGAATCACAGTCATGAAGATGGATTGTTGGTATAAATGGTCAGCAAACATCACGCTTAAAGAGGATGGTGGCGGCGCATGATGAACCACCCTCGGCGGCTCGCAATCGACTAATACCTCTACTATCAACGATAATTAGGTTTGAAGGCACTACTACATGGCATGCGGCGGTGACGGCGGACAGGTTATAACCGCCCACCCCTATTGACAGACTCTCATCGTTCAAGTTCATATCGAAACGCTCTTTTTCATCCAGGAAATACAACGAAAATTTTTGAACACGACTCGATTTTTTTTCTGAGATTGGAATCCACATTATTAAAAATCTTGACATTTACGACGCAATTTAATACAATATTTAGAGACATGGTACAGTAAATAGTACGCATGCACGACGTACTGTCTATGAAAATCATTATTTCTGTATAGGAGAGACGAAGATGAATGCACGGACATATAAACTGCCTCTTATTGAAATTAGAATGCGCATAACCGTTATTTATGAAAATTACACTCTTGGTAATTCATCGTTCCGTACTACGTAGGAAAAAAATTAAAAAATAAACGAGAAACGTACGATTTCAAGTGCTTGCCGCTTCTTTACAATGTAAAAGCTAATCCGACAACTGATAAAGCGCTTCAAAACCCTCAAAAATTAACCTTTCAACATTTATTACACACAAAGAAATTTTTATAAAATTTATACATCAATATTTTAAACCACATTAAAAAATAAACAATTAAACATAGTGGATTTTGCAATTATTAAAACTGAAAATAAGTGATAATGTGGCACGGGGGCATTAATTTTGAATCAAAGAATCGAAAATTTTATAATTAATCAACAGTTTTATAGTTACAGACTATTACATATTCCAGCCTATGTATTTTTTCTCTAATTAACTAAAGCTTAATTAAAGCTTAAATAAAAATAAATCTACTTAAAAATCAATAGCATTTGATGCCTCTCATATTTAATAGTATATTACATGCAAAGTGGTAAATATGTCATTATCGCGAAGTCTCAGTAAGGCAAAACCCAAGTTGTCATCGAGGTTTGTATACTATTTTATTAACAATCACATTTCGTTTAAATAATAAAACATCTTTTTTTCTGTCAAACTTGATGTATCGACATAGTTGTTAAGCAAAGAAATTGAGTTTTTGACATTTAATAGGCTCAAAACCTTGATAATCCTTTATAAATTACACGGAATATAACGACATATTTCCCGACTTCCAGGAATTGGCATATTTGTAAAATGAATAAAATAAGTAACATTTTGTAAAACTTTTGTTAAAAATTAAGCTATTTTCCTGTTATTTATTCATCTACACATTACGCAAGAAACAGAGAAAAGTAAAAAAAAATATTTTTAATATGTAACTTCAACGATTATTTCACTTACTTTAACATCGTTAATTAACTCTTCAGAAAATCAGTTTTCAGGATGTTTTTTTTCAGCTTTTTAATTTTCTTTCCTGTTTTTTTGCCAACTTTTCAAGCATTTTTTAATGTGGCAGTTTGAATATGAAAACAAATACGTGACATTATAGATTATAGCATTAAAAATTCTTCTCTGTAGTCGATTTTCTACTTTTACCATGACAAAATCGAATAAATCATTAATGGTTTAAAAATATGTATGAAGGTCTAGGCTTAAATTAGTCCATATATTTTCCATGAAATTTTAAGATCCAGTTTAATAAAAACTTGTACATGCATATGTATCAAACATACATAATTATGCAAATAATTACCACTCACGAAAAATCTAGAATCAACTACATACAGAGTGCGCCAGAACTCGCGCAGAAACGTAGAAAAAATGTTTGTATTGTATTTATGGCTTTTATTGGCAAAATTTTTGTACCTTTACTAAACAATTGTAAAAAAACATACACAAGATCATCAGTATCATTAAATAGACATAAAAAATGTCAAAGTCAAAAAATAAATGTTAAATTTTTTGACGAATAGAATATTTTAAACATTTTTTTCATGTTTCTGGTATCTTATCTTACACAAAATTTTTCTCTGGGGCGCCAGTTCTGGCGCACCCTGTATACAAGATGATTTTTAAAAAACAGCAGGTGCAGTAGAATTTTTATTTATCGCCCGATTTCAAAAAAAATAATAATAAATTAAATGACTTTTAATGTAGTAAAAGGTGACAATTTTAAAATTTTTATAAATGCCATATGTAATATATTTTGGGCTAAATTTAAATTGAAACTTTTTTATAATTTGGAAGGTATTAGTTTTCTTGGTACAGACATGTGCAATATGTTTAAAAAATATATCAAAGCAGAAAAATAAATTAAAGTTAATAAAATCTAGTTGCATGATGACAATAAGAAATGAAAGAAAATATTGCCGATATTTTTACTAATAAGAAATGAGAATAATAATTACCTGTAACAAGTCAGAAAAACATCTGATTTAATGTTATTAATTTATTTTATTATTTATTTGGTTTGCTTTTTTTAAACACAAAAATAATACCCCCACATCTGCAATGCGGTGTCTTTTCTAATTAAAAATTCTTCAAACAAAAATATGACAGTAAAAAGATACAAACATGTCATAAAGCAAATGAATCAAAGTCCGGTTATCGTTTAGTCTGTTTTTGTCTCAGACATAAACTTTACTATTACCAACATTAAAAATAGACACAAAAAAGAAAAGTAAAAAAAAATGATACGAGCAAGTGATTTAAAAATTCTCAAATAATAAGCCATTTAATTTTTAAAATGTCTAAAAAAAATTTTTTTTGGCGAGTAAATGGGTTAGATTTGTAGCAGTAATAAGCAATAAAATGAGCTCCACGTCGGCCCCTCACAATTAATATCTATTAACCTTTAAAGTTTACTTAATACATCTGAGGGAAGGAAATGAAGTAAAGCCATTCCCTTGAAACCGGATGCAAATAATGCTCTCTTTATTCACCACTCCTCTTCAACGTATTTATTTAAAATAGCAACGCAAATTACATTTAAAAATGCATAAAACAATCAATAAGAAAGGTTTCCATCGCTCAAATATTGAAAATAGTGAGCATCGCGCGTGACTGGTTTTGGAAAAAATCAACTCGATAAATCAGCCGCTGGTGTAGTTCGTAAAACTCGTTTGACTCGCTTATGCATCTAACACAAAGCAGTTTTAAATACGTACGTCTGATGCCCCAGTCCATCATCTTTCAACGCAACTAGCATATTCCGGACCGGAACACAACAACAAAAACACTTGAATCACTGCCCGGAGCGACCGGACTCGAGCGATTTTGGTCCCGGATTAATCCACCGATATTGTCCATGTTTGGTCCTCGAAGAAACTAAACGTTCCACGGCGAAGCATCGCCGAGAATGACGCACTTGAAGGTACGGTGTGCACCCAAGCATGCGCTACTTCAGGACAAGAGACCCTCACCCACGCAGAAACATCATTACACCGGAAATCGTTTTATTGTTTTTACAAAATAGACAAAAATAAGCAATTCTGTGACGCGATTGAACCGGAACCGGAATTGGAAATTATGGAAAAAATCGAGAGGGATGACATAGTGCGCCACCTGTTGTCTTTTTACAAGAACGCAGTTCAGTTATCTTTACTTACCGGTGTTTGGAGAGTTCATCAGGATTGATAAGGGGCACTCGTCGTCGTCGAGGACGTATTCGGTGTCGGGGGTGCCTGGCTGTTGGGTCACCTGGACGAGACACCATTGCGAGGGGTCGGTTTTGTTGAGACCGTATTTTTCCAACATTTCGCGGACGACAGCCCCAGCGCAGTCTCGCACTGAGAGGAGGAGGGTTTTGTAAGGCACGTCTTTACACAAAGCCTCGCCGTAGATTTTCAGAGTGCCTCCTGAAAATTAACACCATTAAATGTTGCCAACTCAAATAAATGAAATAGAAAAGAAAAAATTCACGCAAGTAATCAACATTCAATACTACCAACAAGCTATTATGCAATATTATTGTTACGCAATATTATTGTTCTTATATTCGATCTCTAACGATTTATGATGTAAAAAGTAAATATAAACACTTAATGTTATGTAAATATGTAGTAAATTTTTTTTTGAATTTTTGAATTCATACTTTTTCCAAGTAACTAAAAAAGTATTTACATTTTTCAATGTTGCCAATTTAACAACCACCTTGACGCTCAAAAAAGGTCCAAAAACAATTATATTTTTTGACTCGATTATTAATTAAGTCTCTAGGAGCTCCAAAAAAAAACGTTATTTGGTTCAATTTTAAAGTTGTCTTTGATTTTTGTTGAGATTTTGGTAGATTTTCGGTACCCTGAGCGGTCTATTGCCAAAAACTCCGGAATTATTGCTGATAACCCGATATGTTTAGTAACTTTGAATAGCACTTTTAATTTTCTATAATATTAAAAAAAGATCATTGTTCTACAATGAATAGTTATCGAGAAAATTGGTGATAAATTCAAAATTGTAAAAAATTGCGATTTTACAGTTTTCTCGACGACAATCAACTTTCTAAAACATTTTATATACGTATGGTGTGAAACATTAACCATTTCTAAAATCGTCTAGCTGAAATTGTCAAAATAAAAAAAAAGAAATTTTTTTTTTAATTTATTTAATTTTAAAAATGGTCAACCAAATTCTTGTCGTAAAAACGATTAAAATGTAGTCTTCCAGACGTAAAAACTTCTACAACTTTTTATTTAATGCCTCAAAAACTACTGATCGTAGAGCAAATTTAAAAAAAAAAACTAATTTATAGCAATTTTTTAATTTTAAAAATTTTTAAAAAATGAACGTATAGCATCTAATCAAAAAAAAAATCCTATGTTACCTCCTAGGTAACACACTAAATAACATCTGGTAATAATTTCATCAAAATCGGTTGAGTAGATATTAAAATATTAAAAAAAGGGTTTCCAAAAATTTTTATTTTTGCTTCCATTGTTGTTATACTAAGATAATTAAATTAATTGGTTAAAACGAATTTAATTCGATGCTTCAAATTTATTTACTTGATATGTGTTCGAGTTTTATTCCCAAATTTATTCCTTTTTTATTGCAAAAACTATTAAAACACACATTAGCAAGCTGGAACACTCTGTATTATTAGTGAAAACTAATATTATTACAAATATACAGGGTGTCAGACTTTCCGAAATATTTTATATACGTATGGTGTTAAACATTAACTACTCCTAAAATCGTGTCGAGCTAAAATTGTTAAAATAAAGAGGAAAAATTTTTGAAAATTGATTTAATTTTAAAAATGGTCAACCAAATTTTTGTCGTAAAAACTATTAATATGCAGTCTTCCAGACATAACAACTTTTTATTTAATGCCTCAAAAACAATTGATCGTAGAGCAAATTTAAAAAATAATAATTTATAGCAATTTTTTAATTTTAAAAACTAGTAAAAAATGAACGTAGCATCCAATCAAAAAAATCCTATGTTACCTCCTAGGTAACACACTAAATAACATGTGGTGATAATTTCATCAAAATCGGTTAAGTAGATCTCGAGCTATAAAAAAAGAGTTTTCAAAAATTTTTATTTTTGCTTCCATTGTTGTTAAACTAAGATAATTAAATTAATTGGTTAAAACGAATTTAATTCGATGCTTCGAATTTAATTACTTGACATGTATTCGAGTTTTATTCCCAAATTCATTCCTTTTTTATTGCAAAAACAATTAAAACAAACATTAGCAAGCTGGAACACTCTGTATTATTAATTAAAACTAATATTATTACAAATATACAGGGTGTGTCAGACTTTTCGAAATATTTTATATACGTATGGTGTAAATTGTTAAAATAAAGAGGAAAAATTTTTAAAAATTGATTTAATTTTAAAAATGGTCAACCAAATTTTTGTCGTAAAAACGATTAAAATGTGGTCTTCCAGACGTAAAAACCTCTACAACTTTTTATTTAATGCCTCAAAAACAATTGATCGTAGAGCAAATTAAAAAAAAAACTGATTTATAACAATTTTTTAATTTTAAAAATTAGTAAAAAATGAACGTAGCATCCAATCAAAAAAATCCTATGTCACCTCCTAGGTAACACACTAAATAACATGTGGTGATAATTTCATCAAAATCGGTTAAGTAGATCTCGAAATATAAAAAAAGAGTTTTCAAAATTTTTTATTTTTGCTTCCAGTGTTGTTAAACTAAGATAATTAAATTAATTGGTTAAAACGAATTTAATTAGATGCTTCAAATTTATTTACGTGACATGTGTTCGAGTTTTATTCCCAAATTCATTCCTTTTTTATTGCAAAAACAATTAAAACAAACATTAGCAAGCTGAAACACTCTGTATTATTAATTAAAACTAATATTATTACAAATATACAGGGTGTGTCAGACTTTCCGAAATATTTTATATACGTATGGTGTAAAACATCAGCTATTCCTAAAATCGTCGAGCTGAAATTGTTAAAATAAAGAGGAAAAATTTTAGAAAATTGATTAATTTTAAAAATGGTCAACCAAATTTTTGTCGTAAAAACTATTAAAATGTAGTCTTCCAGACATAACAACTTTTTATTTAATACATCAAAAACAATTGATCGTAGAGCAAATTAAAAAAAAACTGATTTACAGCAATTTTTAATTTTAAAAATTAGTAAAAAATGAACGTAACATCCAATCAAAAATATACTATGTTACTTCCTAGATAACACACTAAATAACATGTGGTAACAATTTCATCAAAATCGATTGAGTAGATCTCGCGATATTAAAAAAGGGGTTTTCAAGATTTTTTATTTTTGTTTACTTCCATTGTTGTTAAACTAAGATAATTAAATTAATTCATTAAAAGGAATTTAATTCGATGCTTCGAATTTATTTACTTGACATGTGTTCGAGTTTTATTCCCAAATTCATTCCTTTTTTATTGCAAAAACAATTAAAACAAACATAAGCAAGCTGGAACACTCGCATTATTGGTTAAACCTAATATTATTACAAACATACAGGGTGTGTCAGACTTTCTGAAATATTTTATATACGTATGGTGTAAAAAATTAAATATTCCTAAAATCATCGAGCTAAAATTGTTGAAATAAAGAGGAAAATTTTTTGAAAATTGATTTAATTTTAAAAATGGTCAACCAAATTTTTGTCGTAAAAACTATTAAAATGTAGTCTTCCAGACGTAACAACTTTTTATTTAATGCCTCAAAAACAATTGATCGGAGAGCAAATTAAAAAAAAACTGATTTATTAAAAATTAGTAAAAAATTAACGTATAGCATCCAATCAAAAAAGTCCTATGTTACCTCCTAGGTAACACACTAAATAACATGTGGTAATAATTTCATCAAAATCGGTTGATTAGATCTCGAGTTATTAAAAAAAAAGTTTTCAAAATTTTTTATTTTTGTTTACTGCCATTGTTGTTAAACTAAGATAATTAAATTAATTGATTAAAACGAATTTAATTCGATGCTTCAAATTTATTTACTTGACATGTGTTCGAGTTTTATTCCCAAATTCATTACTTTTTTATTACAAAAGCAATTAAAACAAGCACTAGCAAGCAACTACTTATCCTGTAATGACCTATTAAACAATGATGCAAGTTTGCAATCTCTATCTTAATAAATGGGTATAAAAGCCATAAAAATTATTATTAACATTATTACCATATCACAAACACCCACTTAAAGAAGCAATTTAAAAACTATTAATAAAAGGAAAATTTCAAACGTGTCAATGACTGCAAACGAAGATAAATATCTGTAAATTGGAAATTTGGAAACGCCCTTCGAAATTACATAATCTTTGAAAGGAATTTGTTGTTGTTTATCGAACTAAAACGAACTTTCTGGTGCTGAACGTTCAAATTTTTTTTTCTTTTTTATGTGTCATTAGATATAATTGTGATTAATTAACCCGATTTTGAGTAAATGAGATTATTCACCCGTGTCGGGCCCCCCGTCTTTGGACCTAAACTGCTGCAACTTTTTTTCCAATTTCTGCTGCCTCCGTCGCCTCATCACCGCCTCTGGATTCGAAATCGATCTCGTGAACGACGTTTCGGGCAATTCCGTGTATAATTTTTCCGCCACGCCGTCCTTGTCGTTAATATCACCATTTTCGCTTTTCATTCTCGAGAGTTTTTCCTGTTTCTTCAATTGCTTCTTCTCTCGTTTCGATAATTTTCGTCGAAAACTCGCATTCGAGTCAAGAGACCCAACCGAGTTGGTCTAGAATCACAAAAATGAGGTACAATTTCGCTTTTAGAATTTTTTTACCGTTTTGTCGTCGATATTTTTGAGGAGGAATCGGCCCTCGCGGTCGTCCACGTGCCAATTGAGTTGCACAAGGAGCGGTTTTTCGTCGGGGAGCATCCGTCTTTCGGGGCATCCCTCGTGGAGTTCATAGAGAGCGTAAGAAGGCACTGATAACATCCGCATGTCAGGGCGGAATTTTTCAACCAAGGTTCCGATTACGTCCTCCACAGTGGCGTCCGACGCCACTCGGATGCACTTTGTAGCGACTTTTTGGCCCGAGTCTTGGAAATAAAATCGCATAACGCCGTGGAACTCCAAGTCCTAGAAAAAAAAACTTTTTCACTACTTGAAGTTTGTTAATTTTAATTTGTTTGGAAATTCTAACCTTTCTCTTTCATCTGTACAAATACGACTTCAAAATAATTAAAAATAGCAGAGTTATCGATTTTTCAAGAAGGTGCAAATCCAAAAAAATTCCAAAAGTAATATAGCTTTCTATTTAAAATAACCCCTTCCGGTGTAACCGGAACCATTTTAAAAATATTTTCATCAAATAGGACCTAACCGATTTTGACTATAAACAAAATTTTAGATAAATATCATTGTTCGAGCTACAAACACCTCTAATGTGGAGTTTAGCCGGAACACTCTGTATTATTAGTTAAAACTAATATTATTATTATACAAATATACAGGGTGTCAGCACTCGCGCCCCAAAGATAAATTTCAAATAACATGGAAAAAATTCTATCTGTCAAGAAGTTTTGACATTTATTTTTTGACATTTGACATTTTTTTATGTTTATTTAATGATACTAATGATCTTGAATATGTTTTTTGATAATTATTTAGTAAAAGTACAAAAATTTTGCCAATAAAAAACAAATTTAACATTAAACAGAGAAATTTAGGATACAGCTTCCTTGTTTCCTCTTCTAATAGCCTGTAGGGATAATTATTTTTCCAACAGAAATGAATAGAGTCAAAGTGCAAAATTTAAGCTCTTAAAACTTCAAAATTTTTTTAGATAGAATTTTTTAAATATTTTTTCCATGTTCCTGATGTCTTACCTTATATGGCATTTTCGTCTGGGGCGCGAGTTCTGGCGCACCCTGTATATTATAATGGCATTTAGAAGAATTCTAAAATTGTCAGCTTATACTATGTATTATATTAAAATCCATTTAATTTATTTTTTTAATTTTTGAAATCGGTCTATAAATAAAAATTCTAGAGCGCCTGCCGTTTTCTAAAAGTCACCCTGTTTTTTTATTTACTTTTTAACTATTCTCATTAGTCAAATGGAAAAGTTTTGTAAACACTCTGAACAAAAACGTGTTTTTATTTTTGAAATTCTATAACGCACACAGCTCTGCAAAAAGTACTACAAATTTACGAATTTTTTAACTTGATAAACTTTAATCGCCATCTTGAAAACTACTCATTAAAGACAAAAACTAATTAAAGAATCGTAATCCTTGGGCAAATCTGCGTTAATTAAGTTAAAATTTGTTTAAAACTTAAAACTAATTTGCCAAACTTTGATCAATATCTCAAAAACTGCCCATCTTAGATAAAAACTACTTACAGCTTCGTATTCATTGAAGAATTTTGCGTTAAAAAATGTTGATTTTTGACGGTTTAGTGACCACATTCTTAAAAAAATTATTAGTTCGTAAATTTGGAAAAAAATTGTTTAAACAAACTTGTCAAACGTTGATCGATAGCTCGAAAACCCTTCATTTAGACAAAAATTAATTACAGAATCGTAATTTTGCGTTAAAAAAAATATTTTTTGGCGATTTACTTGCCACATTATTGAGGAAAAAAAAATATTAACGACTTCTGGTAAATTAAGGTAAAATTAATTCAAAACTAATGTGCCAAACTTTGATCGACATCTCAAAAACTGCTCATTTTAGATAAAAAATACTTATTTTAGACAAAAACTAACTACTACTACTAACTGATGTAGTTAGAATGCAAAATGTTCAATGCTATGATTTACAGTGTACGTCTGAAGCAGCGAAAAAGATAAATGATAATAAAAGTAAAAACGTTTAAGCGCAAAAATAGAATTTTTACTCTTTGGCTGATAGGTAAAACTTTTACTTGTGACATTTGGTCATAAAAATGGTCACTTTAGTGCCTTTTCTTCGAATTTTGGAAAAACCGCCACAACCATCACACGAAAATAAAAATAATTTGACATTTGTATGTTTCCATGTTCCTAGTATCTTACTTTATATGGCATTTTTCACTGGGGTGCGAGTTCTGGCGCACCCTGTATACTAACTGAAGTATTTCGAGATGAAATATGTAATACAAAATCAAAATAAAAAGACTTAAACTTCATTAAAAAACATCATAGTGAATATTTTTTTAGCCTCGCATTTACTACTACCCTCGATACTAGCATAAAAAATCTCTTCTTTGCCTTGTGATATAATACACTATTTTCAATTCCCATAATTAGTTTCCTCACGGAAACAATGAAAGGAGTCGATAAGCCGTTGATTGTCGCGTGCTAATTATGAAATTTTTGTACCGTTGAGACATTTCAAAATATTTTCGCAATAATAAGGAAATTAGACCCAATGGGGTCGTTGTCCTTTACCTTGCGTAGATAGTAACCCACTATACGCATCATAGTATTTAAGACACGCCTCTTTCACACTGTAACAGGTGCAGAATTCCTCATCAAATGATAAACATATTGTTTAATCATCCGTTTTGAAACCCCCTTTTCTGTAACAACTGTGGCATTTTTGTTGCGGTCTAAAGACTTTGGAGACTAATTACATCATTTCATTTGTAACGCTTGAAGGCTCCGGCGAAAATTTTCGTTATTTTCTTTCTCTCCGTGTAAACATTATCTGATTTAAATTGCAGATTATATTTTATTTGTGAAAGTAACAAATGCATCAACTCTTCACCTACTTTCGTGATTTTTCTGGCTTTTGTATGTTTCCAGGTTTCTCAGATGTAATTGCCGTGCTTAATGGATGGAATTTTTACAACTAACATAGCAATCAAATAATTTATAAAGTAGAATCAGATTTTTTTAGAATAAAAAAAAGATTTTCTGTAATACTTTTGACCCGTTAGTTATTATTGTATCTACAGGTGTCCTATAAAAGTTTCACTTAATACACTTACTATACAAGATTTTTTTTTAATATAGAAAATTTCTCGTTGGAATTTATTAACTTCACTTGTAACAAAAAATTTGCCCATCTCTCCCGAACTCACCCTACCTATTAACAGTGTTGTCAAATCTCCTTTTTTAAATACAGTAGAACCCCTCTATAACGAGAACTCAAGGGGTCAACGTATTTGCTCGTTATAACCGATTCTCGCTATAAACATTCATGGATAATAAAAGTTTTTAAGCATGTACTATGCAATTTATTTTATGAAAAATACGAATATTAGGGAAGTTTAAAATAAAAGAAAAAAATCTGTAATTTTTGTTTATTTTTTATAATGAAGCATTTTTATCTTATCAATTGCACTTTCCAATTGCACAAAGCTATTGTAAAAGACATCGTGGTTAGGTGGAAGCACCCAATAACAAAAAATTTCATCTCTAGAGAATCCCCAATTTTTTTTTGAACCATTTAAGAACGGCTTTATATAATTTAGCATTTTTAGCAGTATGTACTTTTGACGAAAATTCACCAGTTGAACTCCTAATCTGGTCCCTCTTCTTTAAAATTGTTGCTAATGTAGAATTGGCTAAATTTTTCTCTTTGCAGAATGCAGCTTGTTTTTCACCACTTTAGAACTCTGTTATTATTGATATTTTTTCTCTGATAGAAAACGTTTTTCTTTTCGAGGACGAAATATTGATACAGAAAGACGAAATGTTCTCTGCTTAAAAAGTTATTCAAAAGTAAGGAAGTGAGAAAAATAAGACCACTAGCGCGCAAAAACAACATTTACAAAAAAACTTCTGGTACACAATACGTAATGGAGACTCGCAGAATTTTTATTTCTTCTATAAACTCCCGTTATAACCGATCTGTTTTCGAAATTTCTCAGAATTTCTCCCATTACCGATCTTGGACAAAATAAAAGTTTTGTTATATCCACCTCAATTCCAGAAAAATACTCGCTATAGAGAGAGAATTTTACATAGAGCAGTATACAAAAAAGCAAGGGACTATACGATTTACTCGTTATAGCCGATTTTTCGTTATAACCGGGACTCGTTATAGAGGAGTTCCACTATACTCATATTGCTCTAAGAGACTTTGCATAATTTGCACAAAAAATTCATCACAACTTTGCCGGCAGTTGATAAAAGTTTTTAAAACACACTGTATACAGGGTGATTCACAAGTGTCGGGCCAACTCTATAATGGTGATAGAAGGACTTTCAGCTAAGCATAGAAATGAATTTTCATATTATCATATAAATTTAACTTTTAAAGAGCTATATCTCGTGGAAAAAAACAAACAATTTTTTGTCATGAGAACTTTTAACTCAGTTGGATGTCCTTTATTAGCACCCAAGAGATGGCTTGATATAGAAGAATTCTTTTAATTTTACCCAAATGTCATAAAACTTTGTTGTCTCTCTCGCTCTACAAATGAGATAAACGTTATGCCGTCTCTGGTCCCAACAGTGGTATGTTGTCTTTCTTGCACTTAGCTCGTTTAAAAGAGACAGCAAACTTTAGCACGTCTATCTACTTCACTCAACCAAGTGATTCTCAATAGGTTAAAAAATGCAGTAAGAGAAATTGACAATTAATGAATGATGGACATATAAGACTTATTAATTTATTAAAAAAAATAATAATAATAATAACAAGTTTTAGCTTAGTGGCGTCTCATACAGTGCAAACAAAAAGTCTGTCTATCACACACGCGTAGAAATTTAAAACGTATGTCTGTGGAAGACAAAATGTCACAATGACAAATGAGAAATGTCAAAATATTTTTTATGTAAATTATGACAGGAACCCGTGGTGAACGATTTTTATGAATAAACACCAAAAAAATCTTATTTTAGTTTATTTTGAGACGTTTCATAGGATAATTCAATTTAATTAGCTCAATGTTTTAATTTTTATAAAATAATTTTTTGACATCTAACTGCCATGCAACATACGTCCTCAACTAGGACGCCTACTTGATAGAAAGACTTTTTGATCGCACTGTGGTTTGAGAACTACTGGTGGTCCCTCCTATTTTCCGCTACGCTTGACCGTTTGCATTTTGTCTCACTCATTCGCATAGTAACAACAAAGACAAAACTAGTAGCGCATGGGATTGTGTTATTTGACACAGTTTTACAATAAACGGGAAAAATTAAAAGAATACTACTACACTTTTGAATCACCCTGTATATAAAAAAAAATCTTCTAAAAATGCTAAAACTTTCTAATAAAAAATTGTCCCTTTTTATCTACATCCTGGAGAAAATTATAACAAAAATAGTAGTGTGGAGAAAACAAACATTTTTGCACAAAAATGGAGAATGTAATCACAGTACACCTTTCTTATTTAAATAATTTTTACATTTTATGGCTTTTAAAAACGTATTGGAATTATTATACCCACACAGTGAGTCACTAACATTTACTCATTCGTTTACTCATTTTTGGTTTAAGTTAAACAAAATTAAGATTAATTATCGTAATTTCACAATAATTGAATATTTTTTGTCAATATAATCTTACTTTTCGAAATAGGAATATTTTTTCCTCTCAACGGGGAATAGTGAAGGTTTATTCCTCGTTTTTGACTAATAATCTTTATTCCCTCGGGAATAAAATCAATGAATTTTTTTTGCTTTTGAACGTTTCTTGACATAAACAACTTCTTCATGTTGATTTTTACTCTTTTTTTTTAATATCAAATATTGACTGAGATTTGCTCACTCAATACAAGTCCTTAAAAAATTTAGACTGCTGTTTTTGAAGTACTGTAGATAAGAACACCCCCAATTTTTGAAATTTTTGGTGGATAAAAAGTCGAAATAAAATCAAAGTGTATCCACCTGCTGACCCAACTCCTCAAGAATCAGTCAGAGACCTCGCCCTAGTAAGGGATATGTGAAACGGGAGACACGGTCGGTTGCCCGAACCCAGCCCGAGGAAGTACCCACATCGTATTGTCCAAAATCATCCAACCATATTGAAAATAACTGAACTTATTGGACATTCTTGTGTCACTACTTCTTGTACGAAACAAACAAATATGCAAATTTCGTTTTGTGAGACTTGCAACAACACGAAAGTAGTTCAAGTTCTTTGGGTAATAAAGCAAAGTTGTGGTTACCTCATTCGGTTCGGATAACTCGAAGAGATCCAGTCGATTGGCGTTCCATTGATTGATAACATTTCGCAGAGCCTCTCTTTCGAGGGCCCTGCGGTCGTTGGCGTTACCATGCATCTACGTCTGAAACAAACAAAAAAAAAATCGAGTTAATACACCAAAAGGCACAAAAGCGAAGGGTTGATACGCTCGGACACTCCTTAGCCACCACTAGGAAGCCGTCATTTTGTTGTTGTTGTTCCGTGGGAACAACGCTCATTTGTGATTTACTCTCATGTGTCAATGAATTTGTCTACCTCGTTACGACAAAATTGTACCATTGTTGGACATTTTCTAAACAACAATAGCAACGATCCCTTCGAAGTTTCTGTCAAATTTGCATTTTTCCTTTCTACCTTGATATTCGTGTCAAGACTAAACAAGGCTTTTTATGTTTGTGCATGAATGCATGTGAAATTGGGACATTTTTAGCACAATGTTTAAGTAAAATTGGTGCCATAAAAGGCGGATTTACAAACACCAACGAAACACTTGTCGCGAAACCAGAACCAAATGGATTTCTTTAACTATTGCCTAACTTCAATTTCTCACAATTATAACTTAATATTTAATTTTTTTAGGTAAAAATTGTTTGTTCTAAACTCATATCTAATTTTTTATCCGCAAACGTCACAAAAGTGACTACTTTTATGGCTAAATGTCACTACCTTAAATGTTGTTTCTCCCTTGTCTCTTTTGCTGTTTCAGCAATTATTGGAGAATTACAATAAACACTTTCGAAAATCTCAAGCGTTGTTATGATTTCATTACTTACAAGGCGTTCTGATTATTTTGTTCATTTACTTGCTAGTTAATATTGCTCTTTACTTTCGATTTGAATACGTTTGCGGATAAAATAATATGTTAGTTGGAGTAAAAGTGAGTTTATGTGGCTCAGCTGAATTATTTGCCTCACTACGTTCGGCAAATTAAACGTTCTTCGCCACATAAACTAGTACTTTTACTCCTAATAACATAATGTATGTCCTGAGACTTTACGATTTTAACCACTTACATTTTTTAATTATGACTCATTATGTAAAATTCCGCTATTTTAATTATCTTTCTACATAATAATTCTAGTTTTGGAAAAAAATCAATTCCCTAACTTAAAAAATTATACAAGGACATTCGAAAAAACCGTTGGAAAACCATTAACTTATTCTCAAAATTGCAAACAAACCGGATGATGATTCTAGTTTTAAAAAAAAATCAATTCCCTAACTTAAAAAATTATACAAGGACATTCGAAAAAACCGTTGGAAAACCAATAACTTATTCTCAAAATTGCAAACAAACCGGATGATGATTCTAGTTTAAAAAAAAAATCAATTCCCTAACTTAAAAAAATTATACAAGGACATTCGAAAAAACTGTTGGAAAACCATTGACTTATTCTCAAAATTGCAAGCAAAAATTTTGTTAGATACTCCTCTTCAAATATGCAACTTCTTTATTATTTCCTTATTTTCGTTATTTGTTCTTAAAAAAATATTATTTACAAAAGTAAACTACAGAGTGACTCATATAAAACTACGCGCCTGACCAACTACAAATACAAAAACAGCCACAAAAATATAACTTTATTTAATCAATTCTTAGTCACTCTTGATAAATGATAATCTAACAGTTATTTTTTAAATATATGTACAACATGTTTTAAAATGATTTTCATCCAGTCGCCTACGGATTTTTCATGTAAAATAAGAATGCCGCCTAAAAAAAATATTGATTCTAATTAACCTCAAATGTTGATTGATTTCGATTGGTTCAAAAAGAGTAGAGCAGCATAGAAAAATTTACATGTAAAGAAATTCCATAGGCGACTAGATGAAAATCATTTTGAAACACGTTGTATAATATTACAGTAAAAACGTTGGTCAAATCCAACTGATTCGAAAATCTTTTGGAGAAATTATGTGTGTTCAACACACACTGATTCGCAAATTATTCATCATTGTGGTTTTATATGAATCACCCTGTATGTGTAATAAATGGTTCTTTTAGCAATAGATTGTTCGTTTTAAAGCTCATAGAAATATTAAAATTGGCAGAAATAAACAGAACGAGATTTTTAGTGCTTTATTTCCAGCTTATTTGTTTAAATGCCACGAACATGATAGATTATAGTCACGCATAATAAATCCATTGATAAACGACTAACGAATCTACAAGACCATTCATGTAATTGCAGTTGTAACGACGACAAAACTCATGATTGTCGAATACTAAATACAAGCGTGACTAATTTCGTCGTTCTTTAATCTGTAACTTGTCTTATTTACGACTGGTGTGCAGGTAAACTCGTCTTCACTCCCCTTAAAAGACAAATTTCAAAAATTTCAAGCATTTCCGGAATGTACGAATGCAAAGAAGCCGATTGACGACCAAATATTTACATTTGTTAAGAACTCCCTGCTGATAAGAGTGTGGTTGGTATTTAAATATATTTTTTTAAGTCTTTGCATGCAAGCATGCAAATAAATCCACATTAGGGCTGGTCATTGCTGGCACAAATTCCATATAAGTCAAGGATATGACCTTTTGGATTTTTGCATCGCACGCTATAATTATTTTCTTAGTGTAATGAGGACCCAGTTGATTGTCCTCTGTCGTAGATAATGAAGTTTTCTGTTTTATTACGCTTTTTAAACATCCTAATCTAAGAGTATTTCTTTTTGTGATGCAATATTGCAGTTTTATCGAAAATTTTCCCACAGACTTGAATAACGTCCACCGATATTAAACAGAACACCTCGCACTCCTCGCAGGTTTGTTTACGTCTGGCATTCTTAACACAGATAGGTTATCACTGCTTTAAAACTCTTAGCCATAAATAATCGGAGATAAGCACTAACGGGAATTATTGCCTCATCCTTTAGCAAAAAACTATTTCTGAAATTAAGTTGGCAACACGATGGTGCCAAATTAAAAACCAGTCATGCGGTAACGTAAAGTCTGTTTTTTTTTTTTTTTAATGGAAATGCCAAACAGTCTTAACGTTGGCATCACTAGTAAATTCATTCATGGTAATTTTAATATAGGAAGTTGGCAGTTCCGGTTTTTTGAATTAATTTGAAACGTCGTCTGCGTTGATTGACAGTAAATAAAGTCTGGGCAATAGGCCAAAATCGTGAACTTGTCAAAATCGAAAATTCCGGTAGATGACGCGGGCGTTACCCTCCAAAGGAAACTGTAATTTGTGAAATTTGAAAATTTGCAGGAAATTAAATGTCACAATTGTTGACACGTTTAATAAAATATTGATCTGTCACACAACTAATACATTTTTTCAGCTTAAGAAGCGCAGTATTAATATCTTTCAGCCGTTACATTATAATTTTTAAAATGCCAAGTATCCGAACTTGCTGTGTTCCAAACTGTGGGCAAGCGGAGAAAGAGGGTGATATTTTACATCAATTTCCAAAAAGTAGAAATCAAAAAAAAAAACGAAATTCCGTGATTTGTGGAAAACACTTTGAAATAACGAGCTATTATAAAAACAAAAAATTGTTACCAAATGCAGTTCCATCCTTGCTCTTGAATTATAAAAGAATTACTCGTTTTCAGGTAATTTATACCACTTCCATTAATTCAGAACTTAAGCCGTTAGAAACGCCTGCACCGTGTCTCCAATCTCCAGAGTCATTTGACAAAAATTATACGATTTCAAACCCATTTCGATTTGATTTTGATCAACAAAGCGATTTAAAAGTAGGTGATACTCATGACTTTGATTTAAAAAATGTTTCAGATGCAATAAGTTCGGCAGAAAAATTTGTTTTACTAGATAAAATTCAAAATTTAGAAAAAAAGTTAGAGGAAGCAAATGTAAGATTTCAAAAGTTGAATAAGCTGTATGAAAATAAACTTGAAAAACTAAAGAGAATGCAGGAAACAATTGACAATTACAGTAAAGGTCAACATTGTGTTGTGAAAATTGAGTCAGATGCAAAGGACTGTGTTTTTACTTGATCAAATTTATAATTATTCCCTAAAAAAGCCAAGATGGTCTGAAGTTACAGTACGTCATTGTACTGCCTGGAGGTACATTTCTTCAAAAGGTTATGAATTTGCAAGTCATTTTTTAAAAGCTCCATCCAGAAGAACTTTAGACAGATATATGGGAAATTCTCAAGGCTTGACTAATTTAATTAAAAACAGAATAACTGCTGAAGGCAATAATTTAAAAGACGTTGAGAAAATATATTCTCTTATTATAGATGACATGGCCATTAAAGAAAAAATGGAGTATAATCGAACAGAAAATACAATTTACGACATTGCAAATACTGAGAACGAAATAATAGGAAAAAAGCCCATTTTAGCCAATAAACTGTTGTGTTTCGTTATTCATGGATTGTCTACCAAATACACTATTCCCGTTGGATACTTTTTTCATAAAACACTTTCGACTGAACAGTTTTTTTAATATGAGCATAAATGTAATAAAACAGGTACATGAATGTGGCTTCAAAATCTTGAAATTGGTAAGTGACAATCATAAATCAAATGTTGCACTTTTTAAAATGTTAGGACAAACAGAGCTGAAAACCAAGGTCCAAATAGAAAAATAGTAGAAAATATAATTAATCCTAGTGTTTTTTATTCAAAGTTTTGAAGAAATAATAAAGAGTTATTGTAATGTGTTAATGTTCTTGTAAATTTGTAAAGAAAAGAATAAAAATAACTATCTAACCCAAATGTAAATCTTTATTTTTTAAATAAATAAAATTATATTTTAATTTTTGATGTTTTTGGTCTAGTTCTTAGAAAAAATTACAATCAACAAAAAATTATTATACAACCCATAAAACACAAAAGTAAATTTTTGTATACAAAAATTTATCAAGGTTTCAAACCAAAATATACAGATTCCATTAGACTGCAGACTCGTCGCTCCCCCAACGGCCATTTTTTGGCATTGCCCAGACTTTTATTACTGTCAATCAACGCAAACGACGATTTGAAAACTATGTCATTAAACGTCAACACAAAAAATCGTCTAAGAAAATTTAGAGACGAAACACCAAAAAAGGAACAAATTCGGTACTACTAACAGTTTTTCGAAATTTGGAAACGAA